TTTCATTCTTGGTTATTCTACATTGTCTTTCTACACATTCAAAATCATTCTTACTCAAGTCTTGCTAAATGTTTCTTTCTCATCTTCTTCCATTGTAACCTCCTTGTACCTAGACCCCGAAGCCTGAAGACTGACAGTCCTCTCTCATGAGAAAAYTGGAAGATTTTTAGCTACAGTGCTACTAATATGTATTTTGTTGAAAATTACTTGTTTGTTTTTCCTAAATTTGGAAATTTTTAATTTTTACTCATGTCTACATACTAGTGATTCAATAATTTTACTTACTTTTATGCAACTAAAACGGCTCAATACCTCAGTGTTGGAGAGTGAGTAGGTGGGAAAATTTCAAGAACAGGCAACAATCCCTATTCAAATTCAAAACCTCTGATTTTAGACCAAATCTCTGCTGCTTCCCCTCATGAAGGAAAAGGGAACTACCACATGGCAAAAACATTCTGATTCCTCAGAGTATGAAATTCATCCACAAGGTTTAAATACCGTCCTATTTTGTTTTATTTCATATTTACAGTGCTAGCCTTGACATACTAAATATACATTATTACTTGCTTTTTGGTCATGATTTGAAAAATACTCATACTGTAAATCCTTGAGATTCCCCAATACTAAAATATGATGTCCATTTATACTCCTATTTGTCAAAGTATTGCATATATTAGCTGTTTTCTTTTTTTTTATTGGTTGTTCATTAGCTGTTTTCTTATGATTTCTTTTTCTTGTTTTGTGAATATTTGATATGATTAATGTATGTACCTTTTTGTATTTTAAAAATCATTTAACATACAGGTATTTGGGGAAGAAGGCCTGTGAATTTGTTTTAAATTTTTAAAATATCTTGTATTTGAAATTATCAGAAACTTAAAATGCAATTATAGTACCACAAAATTCCTTTACTCCATTTGAGAGTAGGTTGCAGACCTGACCTTTTGTTACCCTTAAAGACTATAATGTATATTTTATACAGGAGGATATTTCTCCAGGTAATCACACATGGGTAATTAATACAACCAGATGCTCTGGGGACTGAGAAGAGAAAAATAAAATAAAACACAATTAAGTAGATTTGACAGAATTTGCATTCTGTTTAGATGGGGGAAAGGAACCTAAGAACTTTAATATAGTATGTTTTTGTCTGTGTGTGAATTGGGCAATGATTTGATATTCAGGATGTTTAGTTACTTAACACCTTGGTGTTAATATTCTATGAGAATAGAGTTCTGTATTCTAGTAGCAGAAGGAATATTTGATCACAGATTCACTTAATATTACTGTTAATATTTTTAATAATAATAATTAATATCAATCTATTGTTAATATTTATTATTAAGCAATTGGGATTTTGAATCCGGTAATAGAATCGATTGAAAAGTTTTTGTAGGAGAAGTAAGATATTTTGGAGTTCTTGGTTCTGTGAATAGAATATCAGTGAGTTAAGGGTAAAGAAAGAGCAGGGTAATCTACATCTTCTCCCCCTCCCCCTCATGGTATCAAGGCTTAGGTTCAGGGCCTTGGATTTACTAAGCAGAGGATCAAGTCCCAAATTTCCAATTGATAGAGCTCTTCATTTCATACTCAGTATGAAAAGAACTAACCCTTCTCTCTCTCTCTCTCTCTCTCTCTCTCTCTCTCTCTCTCTCTCTCTCTCACACACACACACACACACACACACACACACACACACATAAACACACACACACATTCCCTTTTGGGGGAGGGGCAGGTACTGGAGATTGATCCCAATGGGGTTTAATCCCTGAGCCACATCCCAGCCATTTCTATTTTTTGTTTTAAAATAGAGTCTCACGAAGTTACTGAGGCTGACCTTGAACATGCAATTCTTCTGCTTCAGCCTCCTGAGCTGCTGTGATTACATACATGTGCCACCACAGTCAGCTTTATAGAATTGCTTGAAGATTGAGACAATATATATGAAATATTAGGAATAGGACTTGGCATTCTAAGCAAGTTTTAGTTCTTACATTGACTGATCAATTGATTGATTTTAAGAGTGGGGATTGACCCCAGGAATGTGATAACTTTACCCCAAAATATATATTTTTTTTAAAAAAATATATATTTGGTACTGGGTCTTTCTGAGTTACCTAGGCTAGACTCAAATTTATGATTCTCCTACTTTAGCTTCTCAAGTTGCTGGGATTATAGGTGTGTGCTACCATGCCCTGTCATGCTTTTAGTGATATTATTGATATCAAGTTTGTAATTGTTAATTTCCTTTTACTTCCTTTTACTATTTTGTAATGCTACAGTGAGAGTATTTCTCAAAGGGCATTATGTATGACAGATCATCTCAGCTACTCTGAAGTCTGAAGCTGCAGAATCTCAAGTTCTGCCAGCTTGGCCAAAATAAAATAAAAAGGGCTGGAGTGTAGTAGTTTCGTGGAATAACATTTGCCTAGCATGTGGGAAGTCCTGGATTTCATCCCAGGCACCATAAAAAAATAAAAATTAAAAAATAAATAAATAAATAAATAAATGTCTCTCATTTGGGCCCATCCCCATTCTATTCATTATCTATTATTACCCACTTACCATTCAGGAGTAAATTAGTTAATGCATGCAAAGTACTTAATAACTTGGCACTTAGTAAGTACTAAGTGTGTTCAGTCTTATGATTTTTTTCATGGATGATCTCTAGGTCAGTGAGATCCTTTTGTTGCTTTTAATGGTTCTTTTTTGCCTTTAATCTTTTCTCATGCTGTCCAGATTGATCTTTCTAGGACACTGTTCAGATAGTGCTGATCTCTGTTTTGTGACCTTTGGTGCCCAGAAAGAAAAACAAAAACAATACAGTGTGCTTTGGTAGCCATATCAGATGACTAGCCAAGACCAACCGAAAAAATTGGCATTAATGAAAAAAGGTAAAGTGAAATTTTGTTTTAGCTACTTAGAGACATTACTAAAATAGTCTCAATTTTTTCTAAACAGAAAAGTTGTAACAGTGATCAAATTCAAGTGGACTTGCTATTTATTTTTAGCAAAGAATTGAACCTAAAATTTTATCTGAAAAACAGCAGTTCAATTAAAATAGAATATCAGGAGTAAAAGTCAATTACTTAAGTGTTCATTTGCATGTCCTGTTCATAATACTTTGCACATCTTTAGGTATTTTCAATATTTTAAATATTTCACAGTTTTATGAAGATGTCATGTAAAATTATTTTTCTCAGTGAAAATTGTATTGTATTTTTAAAAATTGATAGCCACATAAAGTCATTTCACCACAATTGTAGTTTCCAAATTATTTTTTTAATCATTTTTTTGGTATATTTTTTAATAACTTTATTGCAGGAAATGGCAGAGAGAGAGTTAATATGTTACATGGAGGGAAGAACAGTCCATTGGGGGTTAAATTGCAGAGTCTAATGGAATAATAACTGGTAGCACCATCTGCTGGCCTACTTCCGCAGAAGGAGTCAGTATTTTTAACGACATCTCTAATATTCATGCTGATGCATTTTGATGCTTTGTGCATTCATTTCTTTCTGTGCTTTGTTGGAATCTGGCTATCTGCTTACAGCTATTGAGGAAACTCAGCTTTTTAGGAGGGTTTATAGTCTTTATCATTCCTAAATAGGATGAACAGTAGATATAAACTTGCCAAGGCAGAAATGTGTTGATAAATCAAAATGTGTATTTGTGGAGGGTTGTGCATCTCTTGGTTGCAGCTTGCTAAATAGGCCATTTAGGATTCTTCTTTCAATGCTTTTTTCTTGAGCACTGCCTGGGGTGGTGAAAAAGCAGAGGGCAAGCCTTTGTCTGACGCCAAAAATGTCTTCAGTGAAGAGGCCAAGAGGAAGGGTAAGTGAAAGCCTGAATGAGTGGGAGGAGGAGGGGTTCTTTGGGCTAAAAGGCTAATGGGATTGAATAACCTTCCTTATTACTGGCTGCTGCTGCGGGAGTCGTACTGCATCGCCATCTTGAGCTTGTTGCTGTTTTCTGGAGTCTTGGTTATTTGTTATAGCCTGTAGGCCTTAAGGTGGCATTTTAGTGAGCAATTCTAAGCCCTCCTTCTTTTCCCAGTGCTGCAGCACTGCTATGAAACCTTTGATGAGGCAGGTATAGAAAAGAAACCGGTGAAACACACTGGAATCAGCATGAAAATGTGTTTGGAAATTCCTGATGTTTTTTTTCTTTGCTATAGTCAGAGGCATGTTTACGGGTAAGAACATAACAAAACTGTAATCTAAGTATGTGGATGAATGTGTGTTTGACAAGGAAATTCTTTTTTAAATGCTCTTGATCTGCTTCCTGTGATACTGCTAAAATATTAATAATCTTAATGTAAAACTATAAAACTTGTTTCTTTCCCATAGTGCTTGAGCAAAATAATTATGATACAGAAAAAGGGAAAAAAATCTACTTAACTCTTTAATGGGAAAACTAAAACTTTCTCTAATTTTAAGTATGAGAATGTCTGTTTACTAACTATTGTGTTGCTACATTAAAATGATTTAAATGATTTCAGGTTCTCATTCTAGTTTTAAAGTAGAGGCTTTGGTTTTTTAAAAAGCCATAATAAACTATAAAGAGTAATGATTCCAAATTAAAATTGCTATTTTAAATGTATTAATAATTTTCAGAGTTTTAGAGTGGAGAGGAAAGAAAAAACTTTAATTCCAATTGAACAGAATATTTACAGGACAAAATTTTAACAAGTTACATGTACAGGACAAAATCTGGATCAACTAATGAACCAATAATGCTATGAAAATATCAATGAATCTATATTCATCCTTCCTTAACCTTCATTTTCAAAGCAGCAGTTGGGCTGTTTATACTTTTACTGATTTCCAGATAAGCAAAATATCTTAATTTTAAATTTGTTTGTAGTACTCGCATATTTGCTCATGTAATTTTACTTCTCTATTTAAGCTTAATTTAAAAATTTCAGATATTTATGTCAGTTGTTTTTATAATATACTTTGGTGCATTCCATAAAAACAATATTTTGGTTTCCCTAGCCTCCATCTTCCAAGAAGAATGATGGTTCTGGGACATATACTAAGTTGCAGAATACCCAGGTGAGGGTCATGTCTGAGAAGAAGCAGAGAAAAAAGGTGGAATCAGAAAGCAAGCAAGAAAAGGCTAATCGTATAATATCAGAGGCCATAGCAAAAGCAAAGGAGCGCGGGGAACGCAATATTCCACGAGTAATGAGCCCTGAAAACTTTCCTAGTGCTTCAGTTGAAGGCAAAGAGGAAAAGAAAGGTAGAAGGACAAAATCCAAGCCAAAGGACAAAGACAACAAAAAAACAAAAACTTGTTCTAAGTTAAAAGAGAAGACAAAAATTGGGTAAGTTGTTATTATAATTAATTTATTTTAATTTTTGTTAAAATGCAGGCATTTTATCTTCTGCTTTTGAGAATGACATGTTTACTACAACATTAGAGTTTTATATTACTGGATATCATGTGTACCTTATTTTCTTTTTTGAATGAATTGGGCCGTATTTTAGGACATACTAAATTTTACTATTCTGTGAATGTAGCTTTTTGTGTATTAATTTTAGTGAAAGAATATGAAACAAGGGGAAAAAATCCATATGGCTGTGGATTTTACTTTTTATTTTTTTCAAATTTACTTTGTTTACAAACATGCATCATAATTCTTTAAAATATTTCTTTACCACTTAATTCTACCATATCACTGCACCTTGCCCTTCAGAAACATTAAGTACAATATTTTCTCAAAATCAACAACTTTGGGCTAAATGGAATGGCAGTAGAACTAAGACCATGTAAGTCAACAATAACAACTAGCTCTTGGCTCTTTCTGACTTACTCCCATGTAAGTTTAAGGCCAGGTGAGGATTAATGCTCCAAGATAATTTAAAGGACAAAGATTGCTGTAAGAGAGTAATTTAATTCTATGTATTTTTATTTGTTCAACACATTTTGAAAAAATAGAATATAATAAGAGTTATGGCTTTATATGTATGTTTTACCAGCAAGGATAAGCATTACCTAAGGCTAACATAGTTTAGGATTGTTTTTGCATGACTATTTGGTCATTCTCTAAGACTTGATGTGCAATTTTACCTGAAGTGCTTTTACTGAGTTTCTTCTTCTTTAAAAAAAGAAAAAAATGTAGACAATGAAGAAAGAATTCCCTTGTTATTAAGATCTTCATTTGCTTAAGAAATTATTAATACATTTTGTAGATATTTAGAATTTTAAAAAAATTGTAAACCAATTGAATTCTTACCATTTTAAATGCAGCCACCAAATTGAATGTTTTAGTTTGGTTGTGATATTCTTCAATCGAAACCATTAATTAATATTGGCTCTTATTGTAATAGATTAATAAGTAGCTTTTGATTTTGCATTTTATTTGCAGACAGGTAAAATGGAATTCAGAAGTTAGATTTCTACCCATTTATTTCTTAAGTTTTCAGTATGAAAGTATTTTATTTTTCCATACTTACGACTAGTTTCAATTCAAGAAACCCATATTTAATCTCTTGCTATATTAAAAATTAATATGAGGTTTTCCAGTTTTAATTTCTATAGTGATACAAGCAGAGTAGTGTCCTGTTCAGAAGGATAGCACTCTGAAAAACAATACAAGAAGAAAATAGTTGATAAATTTCGAAAGTTATAGTTACTATTTTAAAGTAAGTTAATTTAGTTGGAAGTAGTAACACTGTAGCAGGTAGATTATTCGCAGTAAATTTTAATATTAATCAGTTTAGTGCCTTTTTTTTTTTTTTTTTTTTTTTTTTGGTGGTGCTGGGAATTAGAACCCAGGGCCATGGGCTTGCAAGGTAAGCATTCTACCAGCTGAGCTATATCCCCAGCCATAGTGCTTTGATTTTAGTGGTGGCAGACTCTAGAAAACAGAAAAAAGAATTATGATAGAAATAACTTTTTTTTTTCCATTTTGTTTAAATACATGGTGAAATACTGACTTAGAGCCTTGTGCATGCTTGGCAAACACTTACTATTGAATATATGCCCAGTTTTAGGCCTTTTTGGTAGAGATAGGTAAATAAATTTCTCAGATAAGTAAATAAATTTGAATCTTGCCTATATTTTAGAATAAAACAATCTTGATTGTCTTTATCAGCTAAAGACAAAAGGTTATGATCATGTTGGAGGAAAAAACATAATTGGAATAAGTGAAATTCGTATATAACCCAGAGTTCTATTGTTAGTGTGGATTATAATATTTCATTACTGTTTATTCCAGCAAGCAACTGTAAATTTTGAACTTGCTGTTTTTAATTTTTATGTAGAGAATTATCATTTTTCTTAAGATCAGTTGTATCATTTTAACTAGCAGCATTTTATGATATATGAAACATTTTTAAACTTTTACTTTTCTAGTTTTAGAAGAATTGATCTGCTAATATAAAATTATTGATATCAGTTAATTGAAAGGCAGTGTATGTTGCAACTTAACCACTAACAGTATGAATGAAAAATTTAAGAAGTAAATTGTCAACAATAATTTATGGTTGATGTACAGTCAGTTCAAATTTATTTAACTCAGATTATGTTTTAATCTGAGAAGATTAATCTGAAGAAAAACAATACTGCTATTATTCCCTTTGCTTGCAAGTGTGTTTGAAATCTTTTATCACTATTGTATATTGATTTTTTTTCAATGAAAGGAATAGAATGTCCTTTTCAGAGTATTCTCATAGTCTTATTTAATTTTTATAATAATTCTGTACCTTACGGTAGGCATTTCAATTCAGTATGATAATATAGTTAAATTTTTAGCTCTGAAACCAGCTGCATTTGTTCTATTTCCAGTTTCATCAATTACAAGTAGTATAAACCTGAGCAGACAAGACACTTAACCTCTAATCTGTAAAATGGGAATAATAACAGTAGTTGCCCTACAGTGTTATTTTGAAAACAAAATAAGTTAATAACATTTAAGACTTATAAAACAATATCTGGAACATGCTTGGTGCTTATAAAGCATTTGTTGTTAATATTTTCTGAGACCATAGATAGCATGCATTTATTTATGGAAAAAGCCAAGACTAGGAGTTACACACTTTCCTGTAAGTTTATACTCACTCAGGTACCTGGGTTCTCTTTCTCTTAAATCTCCATTCCTAAATCAAATAGAAGTGGGGTGCTGGAGGACACATACCAGTTATCACACTTTGGTTGTGTGTGTTGTTTGTTTTTTTTTGTGGTTATGGTTCTGGAGATGGAACCCAGGGCCTCATACATTCTAGGCAAGTGCTTTACCACTGAGCTGTACCCCCAGACCAATGATAGTGACTATTTTCTGAGTGCAGGTACTGTGAATTGGACCTGGGGTGCATTTCCCTAGTCCTTTTATATTTTATTTTGAGACAGAGTTGCCCTGGCTGGTCTTGAACTTGGGATCCTCCTGCGTCAGTTTCCCAAGTACCTGGGCTTACAGGAGTGGGCCACCATACCTACTTTGGTTGCTACTTTTTAAGGAAGATGATAGATTAATCATTAATGGCTATTTTTCTTATAAGTGTGCTACAGCTTATCTTGTTAACTAAAGTGGAATTTGGGATGGTAAGGAAATTTTGTTTGAAATATGCCTGAAATTTAACAAGAGTTAGATTCTAAAATGGTTTTAAAAATGTAAATAAATAAATAAATATTCTCATAGCTATATAAGTTTAATCAGTTATAGTCCTTTGTGATTAACTTTTTATTACTCATAATTTTATTTATTACAGAAATACTTTTTTTTGAGAATTTTTTTTAATATTTATTTTTTAGTATTCGGCAGACATAACATCTTTGTTTGTATGTGGTGCTGAGGATCGAACCCCGGTCGCACGCAGTCAGGCGAGCGCCCTACCGCTTGAACCACGTCTCCAGCCTCCCGAAATACTTTTTATCAAGTATTAGAAGTAGCCTTTTTTCTTTAGTTACAGCGGGAAATACCTGAATTTTTGTCTGTTTTGAAATACTTGGGATTAAACCCACGTGTGCTCTGTCACTGAGACACATGCCTGGTTCTTTTTATGTTTTATTTGAAGGAGTGCTTTACTAAATTGTAGTGGCTGGCCTCAAATTTGCTATCTCCTTACTGGGATTATAGGTGTGTGCCACCAGCTCCTTTTTCTTTTTGAAGGTTCAAATGACTAAAGTAGAGGTCAGGGATGTAGCTCAGTGGTAGAGTGCTTGCCAAACATGCGCAAGGTGCAGGCTTTGATTCCCAGCATGAAAAAATAAAAATAAAATCCAAAAATCTCAGCCAGGCACTATGGTATACACCTCTAATCTAAGTGACTCAGAGGTTGAATCAGGAGGACAGCAAGTTCAAGGGTAGCCTCAATATAAAAAAATAAGGCAGACTGGAGATGTATCTCTATAGTAGAACAATCCCCAGTTTTACAAAATAAAAAATTTAAACAGGGCTGGGGTTGTAGCTCAGTGGTAGTGTGCTCGCCTAGCTTTCGTGAGGCACTGGGTTCGTTCCTCTGCACAACATAAAAATAAAAACAATAAAGTCCATCAACAACTAAAAAAAAAAAATTGAAACAAAAGAGGAAAGAAGAAAATAACATTTGTTTGTATATACCATTACATATACACATGTGTATGTGTCTTTTTAAAAAAAGAACATGCTAGAGAGAGATTTCTATCCATATAATAAAATTGGAAGGAAAAAATAAGATTGAATAAAACCTGAGGGGGAAAAAAAGGAGGAATCATTACAAATTATCACTCCATGTTAATAAGATGACACATGAGCCAATGATTATAATTTTTTCAAAACAATAGGAATTTTGAAACTTCTGCTTGAATAGAATATAAATACACTATTTAATTAATTTTTTCTTTGTGCCTTATAAGTAAAAACCCAGTTGTAAAAATACATGTCATTAATTTATTATGTATTTTTATTAGTAGTGTTTATATAAGTTCTATAATTTTTCAAAGCCAAGCAGATAAAACGCACTATTAATGTCACTGCTTTTATCTAAATTATAATACTTGGTTAAAAATATGAAACATTATTCTGCAGAAAGAGTTGATATAGGGCCTGGGGTTATAGCTCAGTGGTAGAGCACTTGCCTAGCATGTGTGAGGCACTGGGTTCAATCCTCAGTACCACATAAAAACAAATAAATAAAACAAAGGCATTGCGTTCATCTATAACAAAAATTTTTTTAAAAAGAGTTGATAAATATGTTGCTGTGAGTTTCAGTCAAAATTTACATTTTCAGAGCTGGGGATATAGCTCAGTAGAGTGCTTGCCTCACATGTACAAGGTAAAATTTTCAATTTTATGAATTATATCTTTACATGATCTAGTAAGGTTTATCATAGGAAAAGATAAAT